CAGAGGAGAGAGGCAGGGCAGGTGTGTAGAGGGAGGTGTTAGGAGAGGGGATGAAGAGGGGTAGCTCACTTGATCAGAGTGGGGCTACTGAAGGAGTGGGCACAGGGGGGAGAGAAGGTCTGGTGGAGGGGGGGGCAGGTCTCAGGAAGGTTGAGGGCAGTGAGAAGGGCAGGAGTTGGGACAGCAGAGGAGAGTGAGGGGTTGGGGGGCAGCAGGCACTAGGGGAGTTGATGGAGCAAGGAGAGGAGACATGGCAGCAGAGGGATAAGGGATCTTTCGGAAAAGGCTTTCTTTTCCACAAGATCAGCATCTAGACTGGCGCTTTTTTCCAGCAAAGCTCCTTGCCGAAAAAAGCAGCAGCCATTCTTATGCTAATGAAGCGGGGGAGATTTAAATCCCCTCTTCATTAGCAATTGCGAGACGTCTAATTTGCATCCCTTTTACGAAAAAGGGATGCAATCTAGATGTAGCCATACAGAATGGGAAGTGACTGTCTAGGAATAAGTACTGCAGAAAGAGATTTAGGTGTCATAGTGGATCACAAATTAAATATGAGTCAACAATGTGACACTGTTGCCAAAAAAGCAAACATGATTCTGAGATGCTTTAACAGGAGCGTTGTGAGCAAGACAGGAGAAGTCATTCTTCCGCTCTACTTTGTGCTGATTAGGCCTCAGTTGGAGTATTGTGTGAGCTGCAGAGCTGGACCTCGGGGCAGGGCCAGCGCAGGAGCCTTCCTGGCTGTTCCAGGTCTACCCTACCCATGGTCCAGGCCGGGTTCTGGCAGGGACACTGTGCTCAGTTCCATCATGGAAAAACCTCTGCTGCAGGTATTGATCTCTCTCTGCCACCCTCTCTCACACACCTGTTAGCAGAGAGTAGGTGACTGGAACATCCCTGGCACTGTGTTTACAGATCATCCCAGCCGCATAGGACCACAGAGTCAGAAGGCACTGCCAGTTCAATCCAATGCTAAGGGATGTGGCCAATGAATGGGAGTGAGAAATAACCAGCGTTATTGCCCGGGAGGGATGAAAGAGCCATGGACAGAGGCTGATGAACGGGGACCAGAGAGAAGGAAGAAACTGACAGGGGAGGGGCTGTTGGCTATGCCTGGGCAGAGAATGGCTGGTGAGATAGATATGGAAGAAGAAGTGGAGAGTGAGAACTGTTTTGGCTGATTAATAATACACCAGAACTGTTCCCCTGCCACTCCCTGAGTTCTTCAAGGAAAATGAAATGACATTCTCAAGATTAGGCCTTATGGCACAGATATCAGAGAAAGCCGCTCTTATCGAAGTCAGCAGGGTCTGAAGAAATGCTTCCATTACAGCCAGCCAGAATAGGAGAGAAACCCTGGGTGTGTCTATGTAGTGCTTTTTTTGTGACGGTACAGCCCGAAACAGAATACCGTCACCTATTTTCCTAACCCAAGGAAAAGGTACCCATTTCCCCTGTGCATACCAGCACCTGTGTTCCTGAGGAGAATTGGCTTTCAATGGGACGCGCAGCATTTCTTTTTCCTGCTCCCAGCATGGTGTGGCTTTTTCTTTTCTGCTCCCAGCACAGCTTTTAAAGGGGCTGCGACTGCATTTTGGTCTTGCTTTTTTGCTCGATAAGTTTTCCTTCCTTTTTTTTCCCTTAAAAACTTTGCCTCAGAGTACAGGCCCCTTTTTTCTTACACAAAGAGCACTGTGTCTATGTAAATACAGATGGAAATGTAGCCGTGTTAGTCTGGTGTAGCTGAAACAAAATACAGGACTATGTAGCACTTTAAAGACTAACAAGAATCTTAATGGTGATAGAAATGTAGCCGTGTTAGTCTGGGATAGCTGAAGCAAAATGCAGGACAATGTAGCACTTTAAAGACTAACAAGATGGTTTATTAGATGATGAGCTTTCGTGGGCCAGACCCACTTCCTCAGATCAAATAGTGGAAGAAAATAGTCACAACCATATATACCAAAAGATACAATTAAAAAAAATGAACACATATGAAAAGGACAAATCACATTTCAGAACAGAAGGGGGATGAAGGGGGGCAGGGAAGGAAGGTAAATGTCTGTGAGCTAATGGTATTAGAGGTGATAATCGGGGAAGCTATCTTTGTAATGGGTAAGGTAGTTGGGACCGCTGAGCATAGGACAAGAAGCAACGGGCTTAAATTGCAGCAAGAGAGGCTTAGGCTGGACATTAGGAAAAACTTCCTAACCATCAAGGTGGTTAATCACTGAAATAAATTGCCTAGGGTGGTTGTGGAATCTCTGTCAATGGGGTGGAGGAGGGTGGTCGCGGCCATGTGTACCAAGGGATGCAATTTAAGGGAATGAACACATATGGAACCCCCCCCCTTGCATTCCCCTCCTGTTCTGAAATGTGATTTGTCCTTTTCATATGTGTTCATTTTTTTTAATTGTATCCTTTGGTATATATGGTTGTGACTATTTTCTTCCACTATTTGATCTGAGGAAGTGGGTCTGGCCCACGAAAGCTCATCATTTAATAAACCATCTTGTTAGTCTTTAAAGTGCTACATTGTCCTGCATTTTGCTTCAAGAATCTTAATGGATTGTTCACTTTCATTCCTTTGGGTACGATGTCCTTCTTCTTGCACTTGGATAGAAAGATGATGTCTGTCTGTATCTGTGCAAGTTTCTTCATATGGTTGAAACTTTAAACTTTAAAGACTAACCATCTTGTTAGTCTTTAAAGTGCTACATAGTCCTGTATTTTATGTAAATATAGTTTGCCCCTACTTTGCTAGATGTGTAAAGAAACTTGAATGGACAGAGACTCCACTTCCAGAGTCCTGTGAGATTAAGTAAGGAGGGTGGTAGTCTTGAGTCAGCAGGTTGCGTGCCCTCCAGACACAAGCTGTAAGACTGGTTCAATCTGTTCCTCCCTCCCTGACCATTTCAATGACCAAGCTAAAGACAGGTTCCACAAGGAGTCTCTTCTTCTTTAAATTACTCCAGTGGATGCTGGACTTTCTTGTGGCTGGACTGTGCTTTGGGCCAAGAGCTGAAATCACTAGGTTTGGCCCTGAGCCAAATCCACCAGAAGCCGGCAGAAGCAGCAAGAAGATGGTGACAGAGCCAACAGGTTGGTGGGGGAAACATGCAACGAGCAGCCAGGAAAGCGGTGGCAGCACGATGAACAGCCAGCAGAGTGGTGATGCAGAGGCGTAATGAGCGGCCTGTGGGGTAGATGGGGAGTGACCAGCGGAGTGAGGAAGTTGCCTCTTTACCTCCTGCCACTCAGGATGTGAGGTGAGCTCTGGGTCTGC